AATGCATTAATGAAGCACCCTGTGTTGTTCGATAAGCGAACACTGTTTTCTCATTGTTTACGGAGGAAAAAAAATACAACCACCGCCAAAAAACCTTGAGCTAATTTACTATGCAAAATATTATTAGTGTTATTATTATTATTATTATTATTGTAATCATCGTTGAAGCCACCAGCAGCTGCTGCCCTAGTGGGATTATGCAAGATAACGGAACGAATTCACTCTGAAATCGGACCCAATGAAAATCAATTACAGGTTCAGCCAACCTTAGTTCTTCGAATTCCTAACAAAACGTAGGTATTCGGTGAACAGATACGCAATATTGTATTTTTATACTATTGTGATTCGAAAAAATAATGACAATAATAAAAAAAAAATCCAATACACGCCGAATGGATTTTCTGAGGACGATGGGCCTCTTGTGAAAAAGAAAATCAACACAGCGCAACAAAAAAGTTATTATTATTTTATAATAGTCAATAGTGAGAACGAGCACGGTTATCTAGAACAGCCCGAGGCCCGTAGCGGTTTTTTTTAAAAAATAATTACCATAATGAATGGCACCTATCCGCAATAATGAAAATAAATAATAATAAATATGTACTTTAACGCTACAAAATATTGTTATTATTACAAGTTTTACAGGACACATTAGCGTTTTTTTTTTTTTTTTAACATTCAAAAGCATAAAAGAAACAACAGCTGTTTCTCTGTAGCACATACGGCGTTATGTGTAATAATTATTCGGTAATTATACTGTATAATAATAATAATATTATTATTATTATTATATTAAGCTCTACGCAGCTGTTCGACGGTATTTAGAAAATAGAGAAAAAATTGATATAAATATATATATATTTTATTTTTTAACCTTATCAACAGTTGTTATTACCACGGAAAACCCAGAAAGGAAGCTTGTAAAAAACATTACAAGGGTTCTTATGAACCGCCTAAGATTGGCAGCCAGCCTATAATTAAATGGACTATTATAGGCAATTCCAGGAAAAAGGGTGATAATTGTACTTGATCGGCAAAAACAAAATGTCTGACACTTTATCAGTCTCGGCCTAAGTTTCCCTTCTGGTTATTCCGTGTCATTATTACAAACTACCCTTTACAAGGCCACCCTCTACCGAGTAGCCTTTTATTTCGGTATACCTACATAATATGTATTTATATAGACTTAAAAACCGTACACAACTGTTGCGTTGTCATTGAATCAAAAAAAAAACTATTATAACGATTGCATTCTGCAAGTCTTATCGTGTCGGTGAAAACCACAAAGTGGTTTTTTAAAACTAATTCGGTGAACAGGTGATACACATAATATTATTGTGTCGACAACACATCAACGCTGCATTATTATTATTATTATTATAGCGACGCAATACACAAATATACGGTAACCGATGAGTCGCACATTGGACAAAACGGAATAAAAAAATTTACCATCGAAGGTCGACATAATAACAAAAATAAAGATACAACCAGCACAGCAGTAGCTGGTGTCATCCAAAACGTTAGTATTTCTTCGTTCTAGAACACAACGGGGCGATACTTTTTCTTCGTTTTTTTGTTATAAATAAATAGCCAATAATGATCCAATGTTTTATTTTAATTTCGCCGTGAAGTTATTAAGTTTATGTATGAATAAAAAAACAAGCATTTAATTAATAAAAAAAAAATGTTATTCTTTAGAAATTTGTGCAGCGAAAAAAAAATGGTGTTGTTTACACACAAACATAACACTCCAATAATAATTGTTTAACACACCAAAATGAAATCATATTGAAATTTCTCGAAAAACATACTCGAAACGAAAATTGGCCGTTTAATACGATTGGTTTCCGCAACTTATTCAAATACCCAATGATGGATTGTATTTTTTTGAAACAACAAAAAATAAACACCGCTTATTTATTTTTACAGGCTTAAATTCAAGAAACTGTTTTAAAATTTTACAATTACTGTGGGCTGTGGCAAATATAGAAATAAACAAATTACATAATAATAAAAAATAATACACATTTTTATTTTATTTGTCATCAATTAATATCTACTGATCTGAATTTAGTCAAATTAGGCAAGATTGTTATCAAATGCAACAAATATAAATCCGATTTTTTTTAAATAAAATAATTGACAGTTTTAAATCTAAGACACCCGTGATTTTTTTAATTAAGCCCAGCAAAATGTTTAATATTTATCGAAAACTATTGGTTATATTGGGTTTGTGCACACCCAAAAAAAATTTAACGGAGAACTAGTATTGTTGCCAACAGTGCTAATATGATTTTTAATTATGGAAAAAACACATAGAGTGAATCGACTAACTTTCCATTTATTTAACACACACCATAAAGAGTGTTAAGCATTAAGCTCAGGCTTAAAAAACAAACAATATTCTTTTTAAAGTTTATAGGAAATCAGAATATTGAATACATCTATATATTAAATGTGTCACACACACTTGAAACGGTTAGCAAAGCGATTTTCTTGATAACACTATTACTCTCCCTTTTTTATTTATTGTATTAACCACTTAATTATAACGTCTGAAATTCGCTATCTAAAACATGACCCATCTTTAAAAACACACTGCGTCTTAATTTTGACTTTATTAAATGATTATATTACAACAGCCAATTTTCTTCAATTTGAACCAATAACAAACGACAAAACTTGTTTATTATCATTAATTCGTTAATATTAAACGAAACAATTTAAAGAGTAAGCAATATCTGCGACACCAATTTGTGGAACCGTATAATGTCATAAAACACAACATAAATAATTGGAATTTAATTTCCAATTAAACCATTATCAGGCTAATCATAATATAATATATCTGCACAGTATAATATATGTAACGACACATTGAATGAAATGTCAAAGTCAATTAGTTGACACTGACTCTGAATACAACTGTTGTCACTTTTCATCAGAAGTATTCCTTTTAGCGAACGTCAATGTTCTGTCGTCATTAGATTGCCAACGATGAATCCAAATGTAGGCGTTTTTTTTTAACAAGTTTCATTGTTTTACAAAACAAACTTTTAAACTAATGAATAAGCCAATACCTTATATATGTTAGGATAGTTTATACCGTTTGAACCTTGACCACAGAAATAGATAGAGGGAAATAACAAATCCGATAAACCTTTTGACGTCTCAAAAGTTCATTTTCTTGTTTATCGCACAAATAACACAATATGTGAACTTCTTGACATTCACAATCATAAAGAAGATGATGCTTACTGCCACCGAATATGTTACACACTTTTTTATTAGCTGACTAATATTACAAGCAGATAAAACCACAATATAAAATAGCAATAACTGAATAAAAAATCACAGAAATGTAATAAGGTTATATATATATATATATTATAAAGTATATAACAATACAACAAAACTTTAGAAACTCTAAATAAAATTTTGACTGTTTGAAACTAAGAATTGATCCTTTTTGGTACCAAAAAGACTTGATGAATGTTTTGCAACAAACAAATGCTATCTGTCAATAGTAAATCCAAAACTGCTAGATCAAAAATACATTATAAAAAATTACACAGAGAAATATGTTTGTTTGGTCCATCGCAGTAGCAACAGTAATATTTGTAACGTTAACAAGAAACGCTAGAAGATACAACTAAAAATAAATTACTACTGAAAATAGGTAATAAAAAACATAGACAAAAAATAGACAGATTAATAAGTGTGGTAATTTTACTCTTTCCATGCAATAAAGTTATAAATTATACATGATTATAAATGCATCAATAATTATTGTCAACGATAAACTGTAATCCACTCAAGTGGTGTAGCATCGAGGTGACTATAACCAGAATTTTTTCTTTTAGCTGTATTTTTTAAATTTTTTTCACTAAAATTTAATATAAGGGGCCAACAGTTTTTGTGTAATAAATATTTCATAATAGTAATTTTAATCTAAACATGTGTTCTTTGGGTAGACGGTACCGAGTAGATTTTTTATAACACCTAATCGTTCTTTCCTATTATCACTTGAATTGTTGGGCATTTTTGGTGATGGTGTAATTAATAATATTATACCAGCAGAGAAATGTTTTTAAAAACTTTTAAATATACATACATTTTATACTATGTAACTTTCCATAACCAACCTAAAAAGTATTAATCATAATTATTTTTAAAATTTATCGAACTGGCTTTAGCCAAGTTAACAAGGAGGGATAAACTAATTATTTTGTTGAAGTTGGTTTTTTAAATAAGGTCATCAACAATAATTGTTGTCAAAGCAACAGACAACAAAAACAAATTTAGGGGAAAAAACTAAAACAAATTTCAACTTAAATTTTTTTATAAATTTCACAGCTGACTTTCGACTTGGTAGAAATATAAAATTGATAAAACTATATTGAGTTTAAAAATGTATTTTTTGTATTGGGGTGAATACAATTAGGGTTAATTTAAAGCGAAATAAAGAAAAAGTTTATACCCCATCTGAGGCAAAGGGTTTTGATACCTATTTATTTGGTTTGACAAGGTTAGAATATGTAAGAATATGCCATACAAATTTAGAACTAATTAGACTATTTACAAAAGTAAGTTATTGAGAACCAAGACTTAAAAGTGAAACGTGTACATTTTTTGCGTGTTTTTTTGGATTTCGAAAGGGAGGTGTGGACTTTTTAAATGTTTAGTACTTTTCTGATACGATTTTTGATCAATAGACTTGCTACACAAAAGAACTTACGACCCAAAAAATTTTAATTAAAAAAAAAAATCATAGCAAAATTAATACTTAATATTACCTTTATAATAATACCTTATCAGCTAAAATGCATCGAAACCAAAAACGAGACAGCTGTACTAGACGAACGTGTACTCGCCACAGTGCTGGTCTCACGACAACTACGACAGTTGGGCGAAGACATTAGCAAATACGTCGGACACGACGGAAACCTCCCCCTCCTGAATTTTTCAAAACGGACCAACCCCGACTGTGGGCTTACCTTAACGGATGGCGCTTGGCCGGACCCAGGTGGTGACGGTTAATAATAATCCAACGGACGTCGCATGACGTGTCGCAGCAAACGGATGGCGGACGCGGATCAGCCGACGTTGGACATTGTCCGGCGGACACCGGCTTGTCGGTTTTCAATAACAATATCACAGGCGAACACACGTCCTTTACAGCGGCGGCAGTATGATATTTTGAAATTTAAAACTTTTGAAAAAAAAATAAAAACCGTAAAATTGGCACTTGCCGGAAAAACCGACTGCGGGCAATCGGCACGGTGCAGTTATACGGCGGCGCCGGCGGGGGGGTAAACAATATTATTATAATAGTACGGTTTTTCGGTAAAAAAAATAAAGAAAACAACAACAATAACTCGTACCTGCGCGAACGACAAAACCATAACCTACAATCGGCGAACGCGACGTGTGTACTGTGTGCGCCGTTTGTGTGTGTGTGCGCGCGCGCGATTGGACGACGACGGAACCTGTGGTACAACAGCTCAAGTCTGTCTGTGAATTTCAAAACACGGCGGCGGCAAGACGGCGGACGGCCGCCGAAAAAACCACCGACGGCGACCACGAGTGGGGGAGGGGGCCCGACAATGTTTTTGTCCTGTCGTTGCGCATGCGCAGTGCAAACGCGACGGCCGAGGTCAAGGTCGGTCAAAATCCCAACGGCGGCGGCGGCGGCGGCCGACGTCAGCGACTTTTGCGAGGCGCGCAATAACACGTGCGTACGGGGGAAAAAAAAAAAGTCATCCAAAAAAAATCAACAAAGACCTGCACTCTGCAGCGTGTGCCCGTAAAAAATAATAACAATAACAACAATAATAGTACAATGTTTACGAAACCAGACGTCCGGTGTTCCCTGCCCCCCCCCAACCAATCAACGGATCCGCCGCCGCTTTTGCAACAACCCGTTCGCATATTGTACACATAGACAAACAAACCAAAACAAGCTTTGCACCCGAATTACATTATATAATAATATTGGCTAACGGTATTACACCGTGTAGTATTGCACATGTGCGGAGTGAGCCCTAGCCCTAGTGTGGCCATCGGCATAAAAAATAATAATGATTTAAAAAAAGTCTAATATCGTCGCAGATATTATTGACTAGGTCATGACTGTTTACCACTCACCCTGTATTCTTTAAAATAAAGTTATACGTAAAACATAGTTACAACTTGTTTTGGGTATTTTGTGGTTTGTATTTGTACACAGTCATACGGGATACATATTACAGCTTTAAGTTCCAATTCGATTCGTAGTTAATGGGTAGTTATTCAATATAATATTATAGCTAAGGTCATTTAATCTCTTTATGTTTAAAAAGAAGAACGAAAATAGTGCAATTTAGTGAATGGACAAAAATGTCAGGCCTTAATTTTGACGTTTTCGCTTACTTCACAACACATACTTTTACCCGACTGTAAAGGTATCGAAATAAGGGTTTAAAGAAATACTAACAACGTACTACACGGCTTCATAATTCAGAGGGGGGGGGGGGAATTCAACATTTTGAGTGACGTATCAATTGTAAAAGGATTTTGCAAAAAATATGTGGAAAATTTTGTTTTTGTTAACATCATTATTTTATGGAAAACCTTAATTTTTTATTACACGAGTGCCATGAGCCACGTGTTAATAATAGTATTAAAATGAAAACCTGGTACTTTAAGGGCGTCCATTTTTATCCATTTTCAACCAACTTAGAGGGTGTCTCCATTTGAAACTCCATCAAACCCAAAATAATGACCAGCCTAAGCCGACATATTGAAATCGGGTTATAATCTTTTTTTTTTTTAATCGAGCGATATCCCAATTTTATTTTGCTTAGTGTCGAATTTGATTCGAAACCGAGTATATACATATACATTTTTTTTTTCGGTGCTGATAAAGTAATAACTCGCATGACGTGATAACGAAACACTAATTAAAAGAAATAAATTTAATTATTTCAAAAATAATACAATCAGAATTCATAATATAAATATTAAATACATAACCAAGAGATGACATTTTATTACAAAAACGGACATTGCATCATAAACTAATGAGTTATTAAGCATTAGTACTTATCACGTTGTAACTTAATGAACAATGTGTCCCCAATTATAAAAAACTCAATAATTGTCCTTGAAATTAACAAATTAATTGGTGTTATTGGAAATTTGTTTATTTTTATGTACGGGTTGTAGGTTAAAACACTGGTTTTTATAATTCGGTTTTTTCATCTTAAAAATATTCTGGTTTTATTGGTTTACGGGTTTGACTTCCATCAGTCATTTTTTTTATGTCATTTTCAACAAAACTCAAAAGAAAAATAACATTACAAGTTTTATTATTAGGCAAACCTAATATTTATTCATTCGTAGTTTCTTTTATAATTCACACACACAAACTATGAGAAATAAAAGTATAATAATTATATACTATTATAGCAATTACCATAGTTAATGTATTTTTCCGTGCGAAGGCATAGTTCCCTAGGAACCGTTTAACTGCTATTAGATTTAATTAAACCTAGGGGCGAATAATTATCAGCTCACCTTTACTATAATGACGTGTCTGAATAGACATTACACAGGCTATATATTAACATAATTGGGAGAATGATAGTTGATCACAAACTCATTAGACCAAAAACTCAAAATTACCACAAACTCGGCTACCACAAAAAAAGGTTATTATTAGGACCTAAGGTAAGATGCCTTATAAAAAAAGTATATCTAAAATTGTTCAATCTATGTTTTTTAGCTCTTTAAAAATTACAGAGATATTCTATTTTACTCCTGAAAATTCTTTCGCAGGAACTCTTGCTTAAGTTTTTTTTTTTTTAATTCACTTGTTAGAAACTTACATTTCTTATATAAGTTCATATTATCAATGGCACACGAGGTAGGAAAAGGTATAAGGCCATAAGGGGTTATGACTTGATGCTCTTAGCTATGACAAGGAAAATATATACTTTCTTAAAACTTGTTTGTCAGTTTTTACTGTTTTCTGTCACCTTTTGTTTTATTGTAATTTATTATTATCTTTTAAAACTTTTCTTTTACCTTAATAACGGGGAAAAAGCACAAAAGTAAACATCCAACGAGATAAGACTAAGGATGGAATTAGCTTATAATCAAGAGTTAAAGTTCTTGAGGGTCCCTATAGTAGAACAAATAACAATGTGGTCAACTCGGTGTGTCGTCACATATTTTTTTTTCACTTCTGAACTAATCAAATAATATCGAGCATCTCATTTTGTGGTAAAACATCAACTATGTGTTAAAGAAATCCATTTCATACAACTTAATGGACAACGGTGACAAAAATCTGGCAACAGTAGAGTTTACAATCCAATGACCGTTCGCCAGAGGCTTTTTTGAATATTCCACTGCGTTATTACAGCGTTTAAACGTATGTTATTTTTAAATAATCCCGTAAACTCAAAAGTACAGTTTTCTTATGACAAACTCTACTGTACAGAGCACAATCTCATTCCTAGTTTGTGAACACGCCAAAGACCAAACATTTACCGAAATCGAAAATAGAAATAAAAAAGCATTAGACAACATTAATTGAAATAACTTTATTCCTGTCGCTTCACAATTCGCAGACTGTAATAAGAAAAACCAGCGGTTTTTTTTTTCTAGTAAATTAAATATTTTATTTTTATCCCAAAGTGTACTCCGTGTGGCCATTGAAGGTTAGGTTACAGTTGTAGCCTAATGAATAATTTATTCAACAAGGGACTACCTAAATCTAAAGTAAAACCCATTTCCCATCCGAGTATCCCTAAGAGATGTATTTTTTGTTCTGATTATTTCTATCCGAATGGCTCGTTTTGTACATCTCTCTCTCTCTCAGCCCACAAGAATTGTGTGTGAACATTTCTATGACAAGCTTAATTTTTTGTCGGGACACCAGCTGTATGTCTGTCCACCAGTAAATCAATATAACTGAATTTGTCCTGTCATTCTTTTTGCTGTATTATATCGCTGCACTGCGTCGTAACTGGAGTGTTTTGTTTTTTTTTTATTCATTATTCAATTTTTTTTTTATAGAGAATACATGTGACAGAGCCCAAAGGGGGGAAAGAAAGAAAGAGAGGGAGAGAGTTATTGTGACGACTAACACATTAGTATAACCGTCAAGAAGTGCAAGACTAATTGCGTTTTTTACAACAATACGGTAGAAATAAACGAAACGCCGTTTTTTAATAATATAAAAAAAAATCGTTTCGATACTAATCTGGGATTTAAAATAAAAACACAATTTTCAACTGTACAAAAGGATACAAATTACAACGCAATAATGCTCTCCTGTCTTGAAAATTTAATTGTAAATGTCTTCGCCTTAACTCGCAGCTCTTATCTATATTACAGTGTTCGATACGGTTGTTCTATCTATATTAATACATTGTTGTGCGATGTTGATTTCAACAATGAATCAAGTGTAAAAAAACACAGATAAGCGATGCAATTATTTTAATCTGTGCTATCCTGAATACTATGTGCGTTCATTCAAGCGAATCGACGCAGCTTGCTTGTTGTACTTTGAATGTTGCCAATTTTGTTTTTGAACAGTTCATTGTGGGTTTGACGGATTGAAATATATTTCATTGCAATTAATATCCATTTTATTAAAAACGACCCCCGCGGTTGTCGGATTTTACTACGGACAGCAGCTATAATAATAATAATAATAATATTATTCATATACCAATACACATATTATGGATTTTATAATCTCCATCTGTTGGACGGCGTGGGCGATGAGTAGTAAAAACACACGAGGGAGATAATATTGCAATAAACCCATACCCCTCAATTATAAATACATCAGTCATCAACGTTTGTTTGATATAATATTTTATATTTTACAACGTTTCCGCATGGCATTAGACAGATAATACTTACCCGTTTCTGGGCGTATACTATCATCGTAAAAACGGTATCTGTATTTCCTGTAGAAAACAAATCAGAAAAACCTGCGCCAAATGTGCGTTCAACATGAATTTAGTCATTGATATTGGCCATTAGTCATTGGTCATTACTCATTATCATCATTGGCTATTGTCCGTGTCTAAGTCGGATCTACGCCACGACCTTCGCGTGCACTACTTTTCATTTATTACTATTACACGCGTTCATTGTCCTGCCGTAGATTCACGCAGTTTAAAAATATAAAACTAGATAGTGCACTTCATCGGTAAAACAACCGATTTTCAAATAACGATTTTTGATTGGTACAAACTCAATGCAGTAGGGCCAGATTACAGTGCCTTAAATATTGTACACGCACTATTACAATACTAACGTAAGCTGACATGAATTACCGATGACAAGTGGTTGATTGACGATCGTTGATGGTGCTAAAATTACAGATGTTTGATGAAAGTTCTTTGACCACATTGTATAGCAGAAAGATTATTATTTTTTTTTTCACTTTTTGGTCACACTGACTTGAGACTGTTAAAGTTTGCTTACAATTTTCGATTTTTTTAGCGT